TGTTACAGTCAAACCATAAACTAAATTATGCATTTACATGTACATACACATACCACTAGTGAGTGCATTGACCTCATCATCCTTTGCATTTAATTGTTGTTGAACAAACTCATATTTTTTATGACAGCTAAAAATAAAAACAACTTAATAAAATGGTGTTACTGACTTACTGTACAGCAACTTACCAGTCATCTTTTCTTCTTTATCTTTGAGGGTATATTGTAAATCCATAACTTCAGTGTCTGATTCTGCAATTATTTTTATGCTTTTGTTTCAATAATGTCATAATAATTTCTTACTCATCTCTTTTTCTCTAATAACAGCTTTAAAATTTTCACTCTTTTGATCTTTCGCTTTAATTTCTTTATTTAAGTCATCAATATCACCTGTAAAGGGTACAAATAATATTGTTCACTTAATTTTGTACACCATACAATGATACCTGATGTTAATGACTTCTGTGTTTGTTTAAATAGATCTACAACTGATTGATCACTATCAACTAGGTCTACTTTATCAATCTGTAAGTGGTACTTAAATCTATTAAGTAGCTCTAACTCATCCAATACATCATTGATATCCTGCAGTGTATACTCATCAGGATCCCAGTTGAACACAAATACAACTGTTTCACATAGAAGGTGAGATGGAGTAGCGGCTGCTTGTAGCTTCTCATCAAGGCAAAGACTCACTGATACTGACTTACAGAAATCCTTAGCTTCCTTTTTGAATGATTTAATAATTGGCTCAATCTCTTCTATGTTGAACCGAGAGACCAAAGCTTCAAGGAGACTTAAGTCAATGATACTGCACTTCCTCTTCAGTACATCTAATACATCATCAATGGTCTTCTTATAAGAAAGTTGAGGCTTCAGATGAGGAAACCAATCAATAATACATTCCTTCACTTCATCAACATCCAATACATTTTTCATTGTTTTGAAAATACGACGGACTATATAAAATGTAGAACCAAATTTACTTCTCATCTCCATAAACTCCTTTTTCATACTACGAGGAAAGAGGACTTTATGAACACCATGCTCATCTATTTCTTTGTCATCAAATGATGAACCTGTTAAATTAAAAGCCGTCATAATTATGCCCATTACTTTATATTATACTTTCTAAACTTGTAGACATAAACTTTTCTCTAGGCTG